CCAAGGTCTTTATGTCAAAGACTTGATTCATGTAACACTACTAACCCCCTGCGACTGGGTAAACATGTCCGAGTCAGGCCTCTGATACACGAGGATGTCCTGTTGACATCAGTCACGACGGTGATATATACCTATCGTTCGGGTCACAGACGAGTGTGTCTCAGCGCAGCTGTGATTTACGTAAGGGCACTTGACTATAACACCAACTTGCTGTGACGTCATCACTGTTAGTCAGTCAGTATCGATCACAAGTTTTCTGAAAATAATCTCTGAGATGAGCAAAATCTAATTTTCGACGAGATCAGTACATTATGAAATAAAAGTATTACCGTACGCAGTTTTGTATAAACACGTATACCCCAAATGAAATAAAAATTAAACACAATATGTTTTGAAGATAAATAGAGGATATTTTGCTTTTTAAAATGTCAACCTTTTCGGATCAGGAGGTGAGATAAACATGTTATTTGACAAGAAAAGGCAAATATTCTATTTAGGATGTATGTTCTTACTGATATTAGTGTGAATTCTTTTTATTGCCAATCAGCGGATTGAAAGTACTTCCGCACAAAAGTATTATTTCGCTTGAGCTAAATTACATGTTATTTCACCCCACTGAAATGTCGATTTTATTTTTACATAATATAGTATTTCATCTCTAAATAATAATACATTAAAAAAAGAACTTGGACATGTTCGTGTTTTTGATTACTGGAAGAGTCTGCGTGCTGTCGCCACACGTGGGTGGCCGGCGACTATATTTACAAGCATCGTGTCTTTTTAAAGGTCGCCTACACGACGGAAACACAAACACTTGATGTAGTATAATCGATGTTTGCTACCATGTCTGTGACTTTTACAAAAGTCAGAAAGCGAACGTACATTACTTGCACGTGCTGATTAGTAATATAAGTCACTGGTACTGAACAAAATCATATTTTTGTATCACATATCACATATCAGTACACACATTGCATATCACAGATCATACACCACCTTGTCGCGAATAAATTAAAATGACGTCATACATTGTTCAGTAAACATTTTCCGAAGTTTCTCACAAAGTCAATTCAGAAGAGTTTGATTGTTTGCGTGGTTTAACGCCGTTCTCAGCAATATTCCAGCTATATCACGGCGGCCTGAACATATTCGGGTCTGGGCTAGACAATCAAGTGACTGACAAAACAAACACATCCAGAGTTGTATGATAAAGTAGTTGCTGTAAAGTGAAAAGTGTTGAAGTATGTAAAGTATCGATATGTGTGTAAAGTATCGATATGTAGAAACTATTGATATGTGTTTAAACTATCGTTATGTATGAATAGAATTATATCCGCCTCAATACCACTTTATATTGTCACAGGAACTCGCATGTAAAGAAAACTGGTCCGTTAAAGTATAGCCCCTTTCCCTCTACATTCTCTTCTGGTCTGTGTCAGAAGTGTTTGTTCTATATTAGCTCTACAGTCCAGTCTTAAGATGTAAACGCATTTGATGATACATCTGTAAGGTTTGAGATAACCCTGACAGCCCGGCCAAGTCGTACCGAACACAGAGAGAACACAGACCAAACGTTTCTGATGGAGACTGTGTTGAGAGTTTAGAGGGAGGAGGGCTTCACTTTGAGCAATGTGTTTGCTTTGAATACCACGATCTGTGACACTATAAATTGGTATTCAGGTAGATATAATACTATTTTATAGATGTAAACACAAAAGATGAAACAATTGATGTGTGTAAAACATCGATATCGGTATAAAGTATCGATGCATGTAAAGCTTAAACTATTATTTCCATCTTCCATCTTGAACATGCACATAGGGAAACAATTACCAGAAGTTGGCGGATTTAAACACTTCTGAATGAAGTCAACGTATGCAGATTATCCGATATTCAATGACTCGTGTTGAACAGAAAATATGTATATAAAAACAGGTAAGCTTTTTCATGCCTGAGAATTTATCAATCTCATAACAATCCCATATTTTACTCCGATACGTTACCTCACTGCGTAAAGATCTGACAACCCCTACCTAATTCCTGAGATTATTGCGTCAGTGGTGAGGGGATAACCCAATATCGAACAACATAAAGAGGATATAAAACTTTTATTAATCAGAGAAAGGATTCAGCCAAGGCGAAAGAGAAAATGTTTCCTGGTCAGCCCTTCACACGGTGTATTTCGTAACATTATGGGAAGACACGATATTGTCTATGTCTTATTGAGTCGGCAAGAGCTTGATTGATATACACCAGGGTTAAAGATGAATCCTGGGGGATTTGAATGAAATGAATCCACCTTTCTAAGACTGCCAGGGGGGGATACACATGCATTGCAAACCCTTCAATCAACCCGAAATTTGCTCGACAGTTTACGAGCCTGATGTTAAGTTCGTTACGCGATTTTGATTGGACTGTTATAGTCATGTTAACTCCCTTGCCTCGAGAAATTGATGTATGAAATAAATATATCCAATGTAGCCCATGCAAGTCTAGATTAATGCAGTTGAGGAACATTGCCTCTGTCCCTTTTCATCCTCATTCATCATGATAATTTGTTTTTCTTCTGTAAACTATTTTCATATCAGAGACTAGATGAGTCTTGAAAAGGGGCTGAACAGCTTTTTGAGGAAAAGATGGGGTGCATACAAAAGAAGTTAAAAAGGCACATTATATTCGGGAAACAATTTATATTTGTAAGACAAGAATGTTTGTTAAAAAAACTGTCACCAAATAATTAAGTTACATGATTTTACATGTGCCACTGTGATATATTTAGTATGTTAAAAACTAGAGGGTTGCGCGGTGGGGTAGGGGGTGGATGGCGTTTCCCTGCACGGTCGCTTTATGAAACAGTATTTGTGCAGCCTGCAATCTCTGATCTCACATGATAAATGATTGCTGCACCTGACACAAGGAACATTACAGAGTAATTAACGTTGACCCGGATGTGACGAGCGACATCTGGTTTGAAGGTCACGTGGTGCTAGCATATGGCGTAATGTCCATGACACAGTTCACAGTGCAGAGCTATTTTGTCAACAAATCGCTGATTCTGCAATCTGTCATTGTTTCATAGCTATTGACGATAAATTTAAACATAAATATTTCAGCTCCCCATGCAATATGCACCGTTGAACGGATACGAAGAAATACCGGCATACATTATTCATATACTGTTGGTGAAAGCGTGTTGGCGATATTTGAGAAGAGTCATCTGAACAATTAGAAACCAGCCTTCATAGCAACTCACAGAGGACTATTATACAGTGTTCCCTGATATGATAGACACTCATATATACCCCTGATAATCAAATACGGGTCATATGGCCTTGATAACCATAAACAGAACTGATCAGAACTAAACTTTACCGATATTCGACAAACAAAATTACAAAATCAAAAATAAAATCCAAATGGAGCCCAGAACAAAACATTCTCGACTTGAGTTGTGTTCTCTAGGGTCTGTGAGACGGACTAGAGTCCACACCATGGCGAGATAGATTATAGTTCTGGGCCTTCTGGAATGGCAATATTATTTCAGCTTACTATTCATTGACGAAGACAGAACAATAGCCATGTAACGCTACATCCACAGACAGCGGATCAGATCTCGCATAGATAACTAGACACAAACAACCACTTTCACGTATTGTTATACTATTGAGGCGTTCCGTAAACAAGATTTCAAGGTTCATCAAGTATTTGGAGACCCATGCTACATGTGTTGTCCATCCATCCATGTGCTCCCCTCCCCTCCCCCAGTAATTTAAACAATGCCTTATTTGGAGAGGAAACACATGTCGGGCCAGTTTCAATTTTCAATGGAATGCCGACATTTTATTGGGAAAATGCACAATGGTGTTTCGAGCAGCCAGGGTAATGTTGAACAATAGGGTTCACAGTTTCCACAGTTCACTACGTGGCAACAGACACTCAAAACAAAACATTTATTACCTTCATAACTAAGGTATGATGTGTTTTCCGTATGTTCAATATTACGGTGATGCAGGAACTTCCTTACACCTGTGCTATGTTGTGACATGTTACCATGGTGATACAGGTATGACACAATGATAGAACGCGGTGTAACGCCCATGTAGGGCTAGGGCAATACAGTGCAGTTCCGTGTGATGGAGGAAGGAGCGACGTGAACATGATACTCGTGGAACATCAAGGAAAATATAGGACCGTCAATAAATTTGACAAAAAATAAAGAAGATAAACCATTTGTTTAAAGGGACTTCTGTGATCAAGTCAAATGTGATCAAATGTCGGTCATTAGATCTTTAAAAAAAACACATATAACTTTTTGATAATAATTCCTGGTGTCCACATGACTAGTTGGTTTTGGCCCTTTAGTTGTGGAGGTGGGCAAGTTGATGTAATTTGAGTGGAAGGTGTTTTTGTGTTGCAGTTCGAATCCTGTCCTAGTCATGTAAGGCACATGATGACATAGAATATTATTTCGACGTGATGACGTTTATACGTTTATACTTATAACTCGTCGAGAATGTGACAAATTTGATGTGAAATTATAAATGCAGAGTACAAATTTCAGCTATGGTCGACACGTTCAATGATACAGCTCACAGAAGCCTCCTGGTTTAGTAATGGATGTGTAATTGATATAGTGGGAGGACGGAGATGAAAATGTCGGGCAGTGATATATACAAAGATAAATAAGACGTTTTTGAGCCTTTAGGAAACTGATGACGAAGAGAGAGGGTGGTGAGAAAGAGATGAAAAAGAAGAGTGTAATTCATACATATGTATATTTGCACTAATATATACAGGTACACAGATATACACTGATTACATTAATGAGGACTGTCGAGGACACCAATGCGCATTTTCAAGATGGAGGTGATATTGCTTACTATACATTGTAGAACCATTTCGTTATGATCAAGGTAACCTTTGAACTGCATGACCTCTTAGGTACATGGTTCTTGGTCATATTGCCTTCCATACACATGGAACAAGGAAGCGGTACTTACCGTAAACGGAATGTGGTTGATGGCTGCGGTGGCGATGACGACAGCAAGAACCAGTCGACATAAGTCGGAAGAGAACGTCAACTCATTGTACCTGGCGTGCACCGTCTGAGAACCCGTCTTGGCTACAGCTGACGTTGACGGAAGGTAGAAACGCCCAGCTTGATACTTGACCACGGCAACACGCCGCATGTACCGCAACAACACCACCGTGTCCGACGTGCAGATAAGACACAACACGATGGAACAGAGATTGAGGATGATGAAGAACAACGCGAAACTAACGCCAAGGTCATGCGGCAGGAAGAAGCAAGTTCCTTTGGTCGAGTATCCATCTTCAGTTGCACCTATAATCGGCATGATGCCAATGAGGGCCGCGAGAAGCCACATGATGGCCACGTACACCTTAACGGCCTTGGTGGACCCGTATACCTGTTTCCCCGACGGTAGTCGTAGCATGGTCATCCAGTGGACACACATACAGAGGACACTCAGGATCTCCGCCACCCTGACCGTCACGCTGAGCCAGATGTAGCAGTAGCACAGCGGCTGAGACCAGGGGATTCCCCGCAAGGTCATGACCCCTGGGATGGGGATGAGGAGGATGACGTTGGCCATCAGGCAGGCGAGGAGGGACATCAAACACAGGTCGGTGCCGTGGAAGAAGGGTCTGTAGTGAGCGATGACGACCACGGCCACGACACACGTGAGCAGGGCGACCGGCGACAACACCATCCACGCGATCGCCACGCCGTACTCAACCATTGTCCGCGGACATCGACAAATGTCTCTGGGTCTGCATAGATGGAGATGTGGACTACACCATTGAAGTCAAGCCATGGAACATCCTCTGTCACACGGGTGTCGAGTCTCCGGGTCATATGCTGCACTTACACAACGAACAGAAACAATCATAAACAGTAAACATATTCAGACCCTGATCGTTTTGGACACAGTAGCATCGATGTTTAAACAAGTATGTGTCGGGGTATATTTTCATTGATCTATTCGTGTATCCCTGTAAACCACGGAGGAATGTTTCGATGATGATTACTTCTACTCAGTAAACGAGGTCAGGCCAACCGAATCACCTGGTTCTATACGCATCCAGTATAGAAGCAGCTGTCGCCATCACGTGTTGACGGTAATGATTAACACTAATATCACGAAGTCTACAACATAGTAAGCTGGTGGGCGCATACCCCACCGTCAGTAACAACACACACTCCACCGGCAGTACCAGCACACACTTCAGCTGCAGCGACAATATCTGACACCCTCGTCGCTAGGTGTTGATGTCCGGAGCAGATCCGGAAATGATGACACAAAATAATGAGGATTTGATATCAGTTATAACCCGCTTGTCTTGTAATTACCCGGTGAATCCAAAGCCAGAATACGATACTCCAGATACTTTGTTGAAATTGAATCCCAGGATGATACTTGGTGTTTCAGTAATTCCGATTTTGTCATCCCTTTATCTGATTCAAGGACACGAAAGCGCTGCGTCTTCTGTATTCCTCTGTCGCTTCATCAAATCCGTTCTTGAATCTGACTGTCGTCTGCTTGATGCTCACCTGTCACGTGCCGGAATATGGAGAAACGGCATCAGACACCACGCGATATTAATCGGTTTAGACAGAGGTGAATTGTTTTATCACATTGGTCGGAAAGTCATCAGAAGATGGTTGTCATCAGATTGTCGAGACGTCTACCCCTCGTGTCATAACATAAGCATGAAAGTCACGATAGAGGAACATGTCACACAGGGGTCGATGGAAGTCTTTCCATTGAACGTCTGATATCCTTGCCTACCTGTCGTCTGCCGTGTTGAGGCAGTTGTCGTCTGCTAGCAACAGGTAGGTAGCATCACTGCTGCAACGTAGCCCGCACAAAACAGTAAAGTACAACTGACGTCTGCTATCCAAACCTTGAATTGTTGTCTGCTACATGGAAGCGTGATACATTCTGTAACATACACGTGCAACGTTCTCAACCGCAGTCGCTTCCCCGCGGTGAACGTGTGTCCGGACTGACCACGTCACCGGACATTCATCCCAAGTAGCATGTTCCAGTTAAGTCTATCTGGTCTCACCTGGCGGCCGTCTTTGATCTCGGCATTGGAGGTCACGTGTAGCACAAAAGCAAGGTGTTACAGCAGCTCGCACCTGTTGCTGTAGATGCCGAGGACAGCGCAACTGAAACAACGTTTTGCTCACACTAGCTGCTGTGTCAATAACAGCAAGAATGTATAGCAGTCACGATTTCGATTCAGTTTACGCATGACATGACAAATAAACAGATCGTGTGGAATGGTTGATTCCAGAAATTCACAGAACTTTGGTCAAAAACAGGCGTTAGTTATTTCCTACGTACCATTTCCATAGAACAGGGCGGGTGTGTCCATGTCGAATCTAATAATGACAGCTGACGAAGTTGTGTATTTCCTCCAGGTGAATGAATCAGTATTATTCCCACATCTGTGCCGTTATGGCACAGTGTATCCCTGTCACCAGCGTGAGGTGTACAGAGCGTCCAGTAAAATCGTCACATCGGTCCCTGGAGTGTCCGGCACTCAACTGACTACACGCGGCAGGCGACCCACAGTGACTGCAGGGTCAACAAGCAGCCGGGGACACGCGAACACCGTGTTTACGGACGAAACAAAACAATTAGCGAAGCCTCTTTCCCCTCACAGCCACTGAACAACCTGAAGCCCATTACAACCAGCGATCGATCTGGCTGCGTTTCGGCGACTGGACCATTATATATTAACTCGACGTTAAGCCTTTAATGCAACACACTTCAGTATGATGCGCGTTTTAATTATTCTGAAAATACATGAGAAATATTTCATTAAACTATTCGAGTCAAATGAAACGATTATTTGCCATATTTTACAGTGGTATGGTTCTTTCACTTTACGTATTTTATACACAATTTACGTTATTTCGTCAACTTCATGCTATACCCATGATAATGATTTTTTCGAACGTTCCGTTTTGTGACATTATAAAACCTTCTCATGTCAAACAAACGTTGATACATGTTCACCTCTTAAACCATGTTATTTGGATCAAGTCGCGTGAACGCACCAGCTAAAGGTGAGCGAACAATAGTGTCGCGCACGTCCAATGAAATGCCTGTCATCTGCCGCGCAGCGCCCAGTCCCGAGGTCTGAATGTTATTCACGTGTAGAAGGGATCTCTGTTACATAGCGCTAAAAACCTTTCGCGTTTGACCTCTCATCTTGAACTGCTTTGGCAGTAGATCGATTCATTCAACAAACTTCGACAGGCTCCTATTGGCAAAAACAGTTCGTATTTAGAATATCTCGGTGAAGCCCGTCTGTCGCCCTACATTGATTGCGCTCTTAATTTTCGTGTTATTTACAGATGTCTGCCCGTATCTCATCGTCACTCATCTGTAGCGGACTGCACAAAGAAATACTAACAGCTGATAAATTAGTTATCATGTTATTAAATGCTTCGTTTGATTGTAGTAGTTTTGGAAGAGACCATTAAACCTTAAGCTAAAGTCTTTGTGTTTCATCGGTAAGATTGTCAGAGCTGTGGACTGATGTTTTGTGTTTGATTGGTCAAGCTGAATACATGCGATAAATCGTTATGGTAAATACCTTATATTTGTGCTGACCGTGTACATTAGTTTATGGACCATATACTGTACTTTATAATGAATATTATTATCATTATTTTATCAATATTGTATTTTGCGTGTGTCGATTAACGTGATATTTATGATGCGAAAATACTGGAATAATAATCTCTATTTATCGAACCAGTTTGCTTTCAGTAAAATGTACTTTTCCGGACTAATATCGGTTTTATAGTGGTCACCCACTGAAATAGCATGATGCAGTTTAACATGGATACCCCACTCGGACACATTGTACTGACACAGAGCCGACAAGTCCTTGTTTTATCCCCTCAATGCCGAGCGTCACCCAGGGTAACAACAAGTACCATCTTGTAACGTCTTTTGGTGTGACGTAACCGTGGATCGAACCTACGACCTTCCGCTCTTCGGAACTACTAGAGGCGGTGTCATACTTGGTGTGTATTGCAGACACGATATGCAGTGTAATGGTCCCTTAAATAGTATATGTTAACGCGTATTGTGGTCGGGCAAGTTACATATACCAATACACACGTATCTCAGGAAAAGTACGTGCGTTTAAAATATAAAACTTAAGTGAACTCAGTAAGGTGAGGTCAGCATATATCTGGCAACCAATCTGGATTGATTAAAGCCAAACGTAATTAAACTGAGTTAACCAAACAGCCAAGGATAACTTAGGGTAGAACGTTATATGAAACATAAAACAGCCATGTGTATTGTATACTATATAAGTGAGTGAGTGAGTGAGTGAGTTTGGTTTTACGCCGCTTTTAGCAATATTCCAGCAATATCACGGCGGCGGACATCAGAAATGGGCTTCACACATTGTACCCATGTCGGGAATCGAACCCGGGTATTCGGCGTGACGAGCGAACGCTTTAACCAGTAGGCTACCCGACCGCCCCGTATACTATATAAGAGATGTGAACAAGGGTTTCATTGCTTGAGAAAATGGCATTTTGCCTTTTCTATTAAATGAATGTAACAAGACAACAAAGCCCAACATTACGCGTCGGACATCAGAGATCCAAAATCATCATCAAAGTTGCATTAATCATTCTGAAGTATTTGTATCAACAATCGATACTTATATATATATATACGATACATATTTCTTTGATGCATACCAGAATACATATATACAGTACATACCCGGCTAATAATATTTATTAAAATTATCTTTAATCATGATTGAGTCAATAAATGAAAGTAATTAGTTTTAACTATGACGTCACTTAGAGGATCCTTACCAGAATGCTGCACCCAAAGGGGTCAGTACTCGCGTTCGAATTCACACCCTCAAAACGGTCAAAGTCTTATTTCGATATTTCAAAAAGCTCGGAATATGTGAAATTAAACGAAAGTTGCTTAACTTTTGTACATTAGTACATTCATACAATGTCGTACTTTCGTAGATAAGCTTGATCTCATCGCCTTGTGACTTGGTGATCATCACGAACAACCCAAGCTGAAACTATTACAATTCCACTAAGATATTCGTTTTCAAATAGATCTGCACTTTCGAAATGTGGTATACGAAGGCGGTTCCAGAGAGGGGTGGTCCACCACCCCCACACACCCCACACCCATTCCCAAACAACCCAACCCCTTTTGAAAACCAAATGTAGTATGTTGTTGGCTGTAACATTATCTGTGAGAGGTGTTTTCTTAATATTTGGGTCCCCTCCCTTTTACAAATGCTTGATCCGCCCTCACTGTTATTCGACAGGGGTGATTTTGAAAATATTTTACGAGCGCTTTAAAAACTTCATCTCTTTACCTTCAAAAATGATTACTTGTTTCTGTTCTGGTGTTTTCGTTAAAAAGGAAACGAGATGTTGTGATACGACAGTAATCTGACCGGAGCCCCATACCCTCGGAATGTTCCATATAGCGATCTTAGGGCTACGACTATCAGTGTTAAAGAATGGGATAGAAATCGTGCTTAGCGATAAGATCGCGGATCGAGCCCATGTGACCACGTGTTCTCAACGTTGATGAACTTGGCTCAGATAACATATCCGCTGGGATGCTGTTTACCACATTGAACATAAACTGCCGGGCAATAGAAAATATACACCCATGTTTGTTGGTAGCAAATAATGAGACAAACAAAAGAAATGGTTATTCGATAGTGATGTATTTGATAGTTGTGTTTTGGACCTATTTGTTTTCAGCCTAGTTTTTTTGTGTTTTTTGTTTGTTTTTTGTTGTTGTTTTTTAGGGAGTGTTGGTTTGTTGTTTTACGCCGCACTCAGCAATTATCCAGCTACAAGGCGGCGATATGTATATAATCGAGTCTAGACCATACAAGGGATTGACATCATGAGCATCGATCCACGCTATTCGATTGTTGACATGCTTCAACCAAGTCAGCTTGCTGACGGGGTTAACCTCTTTGGTCATGTGGACAAGGCGTCCGACCTCGGATCAGAAGGTCCGTGGTTCGAATTCTATCACGGGACTCGGAAGTTGTATGGCCGCTACATTGACATGAAACATAATGTATTTAATCACGCGACCAAGGGATCGAACAACTGACAGACGCTCTATACGCTACACCACGGAAGCGGTTGAAATGTTCATGTAGGAACAAACTAAAATAGTTTAAGAACCATCTATGCAAAACAAATATTCTATGAAATGTGTTCAGTGTAAATATATTTCACTTTGCATGCTCAATATGGCAAAAGGAGGCAGTTCGTGCACGAAAACTTCCATTTGCTGGGTGACTGAAACACATCGAAAACACTGGGTCCACTCACTGTGTCTACATTTCGAACTATCAGTTGTTCCAGACAAGCGGAGTGCTGATATTAGATCGTTGTGTCGATAAAGAGTGATTGTTGCTGTTTATAAGCAGACTAGTAGCCCATAAAAACAAAGCCTATGGTGAAAGGCGACATAATTGATCGGGTGGTCAGGCTCATCGAGTGCGTGCGTGCTGCGATTTATCTTGACCAGTTCCGACATGGGTACAATGTGAAGCCCATTTCTGGTGTCCCCCGCCGTGATATTGCTGGAATATTGCTAAAAGCGGCGTAAAACCACATTCACTCACTCACTCACTCGCTCGCTCACTCATTCTTGACCAGTTCAGAAGCTTAAAGTGTACAGCAAATGTCAGTAACAATTCCCAAATGGGAATTAAACATACTCGTAATTCCCGAAAATATTGCAATAACTAATATGATGGCTTACATGTTTCACTGTGAACAGGACTAATAACGAGTAGGAGGCTTTAATCATGCTTCATCGAATGCAATTCTAAAACACAATGTTAAAATAACTCTGGTATTATAAAACAATATATGATGGCGGGATGTGTATATTCGAGATTGGACCAGACAAACCAGTGATTGATATTATGAGTAACATCCAAAGCTGTCAGGATACCATGACCAACAATCAACCAAGTCCCAAAGCCGGACCCCCCGATCCATTTAGTTGCCACCTTGACTACCATGCACAGGTTGCTGGGGAACTATTCTAACCCGGAAATCCCATGGTGTATGCTTTTGATATCTGACATGGTTTCATCAAGAAATACAAAATGGGTTGGGGGAAACGAACCCTACCCTCATTTAAATCAAAGTTCAACGGGTTGCCGAAAACGTAAAACGAGTTCTCAAAAAGTGAAAAAATATGGAATAGCAAAAGCCGTGATCATGTACGAATAAATACCGACCGGTTTATGATTTATGCTCCGTCAGTGAAACATGACGTCCTGGCGGTTTAGGTGTAAGTTCAGGGATTAAGAGGGAAACGGAAGTCTCTGTTAAGATTGCCCATTGACTTGCATTATCTATAAATCCATATCAGTAGCTGTGATAGTGCAATATTATATGAAGCGCCAGTAATATCCCTGCTAGTTCGGGGCCACGAACTGAAAGAAGCGCCTGTGATATATCACAACATTGAAACATGTGGTTGCTGCCAGTGACGTCAAAACTACAATCACGTGTAACACTGTTCACTCGTCTGTCTCCCAGTTACTGAATCATATTTTTTTCCGCTTCTATCCAGTCATTGCTGTTATGCTTTATAATAGCGCTAAATGAAGTAAGTCTTGATTTTTTGTAGGTTCTAAATCAACCATCTC